ATGACACCCTGGCATGGTCTTCTAGGCAGGTGCACAACACCTACAGCAAAGGGAAATACGACTTAGACAGTAGTGCACGGTTACACACCAGTGGCTGAGCGCTTCGATAGGTAACCTCGCAACTGGCTGACGTTTGGACATGGTTTCGAATCTCAGTGCAGTCAAACGAACTCGGATTTGTCTCACAATTGTGTCATAACAACATGGAAAGCGATAAATTCGTGTGTATGCAATAGTTCGACTTTACGGTCGACGATGTGAAGGAACCGCGGAGCCCTTCGCGTGATCAAAATGAAGGCAAGCAACCAGGAGGAAGGCGGAGAAAACAGCTCCTGTAAGGCCTTCTTCCGTGTGACCCCGACTGGTGTGCCCAGTGTTGTACCGAAAGGTGGAAGAACCGACGTCCAGATCCAAAATAAAGTGGACGGCAAACCAAAAAAGTAACAGCAGACGACCCAAATGAACGAGGGAGCGTTGGTCGGCCATAAACTGCCTTGACGAGGGGCAAAGATTGGGTTCGTAGCGCTTAGCTAGCGCACAAACATGGGATTCGTATCTCACCGCCAAGTGGGTAGTCTCGTCCCGCGTACGGGTGTAAGCGGTACATGCACATGTGGACGGGCACCTGTGTGCCGCAGTATCACATGCAGGTCTGTCACCTCCACTGTTCGATTATCTGTTTCCGTCAGGACCTCCAGCGATACCCTGCCCCTCCTTGAAACTTTCCAAGTGAAAAGAAGCGCCAATTCTTCTCTTCCTCGATGGCGCTATTGCAACAGACTACAGACTGCCCAGAGTACAGGACAAGCAAAGAAAAGTTCTTCGTACCTTCGCGCAGACTCGAACTCGAAACTAGGCATTAGACTATTTAGGGCGCGGTGAGGATCGCAATTTTCCTCTTCAGAAACCAGGAATCGCCTGCATATCTCAGTTTTCCAAAGTCCAACTCCAGGACGCAACTTCAATCGCAAAATAACCGTCCGCTCACCCACCCTTGTGTACAATGTTAATTTCTGAGATTGTAGCCCTTGCGATACACTGCAGACTAGCGGTCCGCGATTTTCCAAACGATCCTTCTATCATCGAGATCGGTGAGCTACAAGCAGGATTTTTGCATCTGTTGTGCGGTCCAATTTTGAAACGCCTCAAGCATACATCAGCAACCAACGGCGAATCAGTGCCTATGTGAGGCTGTGGGGCCGCAAACTTCAGCGCATCTCGCCCCTCACATGTTCTTGTCGTCGCCACTGTCCATTTGCATGCCTGCGATGATGTGTATGTAGGTCTAGCCAGAAGCAAAGGTGCTTGAAGCGTTTCAAAATCGGACCGCACAGCAGCTGCAAAGATCCTGCTTGTAGCTCACCGATCTCGATTACAGAAGAATCATTTGGAAAATCGCGGACCGCTAGTCTGCAGTGTATCGCAAGGGCTACAATCTTAGATACTAACCTTGTACACGAGAGGGGGTCAGCGGGCGGTTAATTTGCGATTGAAGTTTCGTCTCGGACGTGGACTTTGTAAAAATAAATATGCAGGTGTTTCCTGGATTTTTAAAGAGGAAAATTGCGATCCCCATCGCGCCCTCAAGGTTACGAGGTAGATCTATCCGTTCTTAGTCGGGAACATCTTAGTTTGTTGCGGGGCATCTATCTACGCAATAAAAGCATGCCTGAAATCAGTCCACGAGGCGACGGAAAGCTACAACAGTATACCAACGCGGGTGAATGCCCATGGACACTGCGAAAATACGTCAAGTATTGCAATATAAATTCGACTCGAAACGATGAAGATAAATCACACCAACAACAGGTACCAACAATATCAGCCAGAGAGAAGAGCACACCGTGGTGCCATTCAACGGCCATCGCGGGCCGTTTTCAGAGGCAAGCTTCCTTGTATGTTCATCATCGCAGCACGTCCTCTACACCCGAGCAAGACATACGAATGCGAGCTCCCGCGACTGATGTGGTTGCTAGAGCGCCAATATCAGAATGTGCATGTCCCACCAGACAAAGCCGCCGGGACCTGCACTGCCTCTCTTTCTCGTTTGTGTTTGGAGATTTCCAGTTGTAGCACAAAGAGGAAATGGACGAAGTACACGCTGCGCAACCAGTCTTGGGATATTTTTCAAACCGCATGATGAGCAATATCCCCTTTCTGTCAGAGCGCTGTATATCAATCAGTCCTCTTCTGTTTGTCGCTCCTTCCGGACTGCGCCTTGCATGCCCCGAATGCTCAGGTAAAACGTGACCCGGTTAACAGGCATCCCAACGCTCTGCGGATGACGCAAGCGACCAGAGTGCCCATTGCCTCATATTTCTTCACGGAAGGGCTGTGGGAGGTGTAGAGAATCCTAGAGCGGGTTGAGACCTCGATTGCTGTGCGTCATTTGCCTCGCCCTCGCCTCTCTCGGCCATCCCGGCAGCAGCAATCAGGGCATCCAATTCCACACATTTCCTCGTGGGAAGATTGGAACACCATCGGGGGTTTGATGGGGATGGAGAAGGTTATCCTCCTCCTCCTCCTCGTCCTCCTCCTCCTCCTCCTCCCCGTACCCCTCATCCGTAGTCCACCCAACGGGGTCCCATGCTGATTGTAAGCATCATACACCACACGGTTACAACGTTCGGATAAATAAACGCGCGGCGGAGCGGTGCCAACATGTCGGGTGAGCTGACAACATGACTCGCTTACTTCTAAGAACCATCCATGGCAGCGAGGAAAGTTGGATCGAAACGAAAGCTGGTTGAAAGTAAAGTCATTATTTCGTAAGCCCTCTACTCTGGGTGAGCGGAGAGTCCGGAGTGTGGTGGTTATGGCCTGCCACCGGAGGTTGGCTATTTCCTTTGGTGCGATGTGGGGAGGAATGCCAAGCGTGACCGAGCGAACTCAGTCCAGCTAGGGTGGTGCGGAGTTTGGGCGAGCCTTCGTGGACTCATTTTCCCATCCTCCTAAATATTCGTCAACTAACTATTCGCAGCTGTTGGGAATCGCAAGAGCCATGGACCCTCGGGAAGAGCAGTGATCTACTTTCACACATTCCCTCAAATCCTACTCTTTCTGTACGTGTGTTAGCGCTCCCTGAATCTCCATATCCTGACCTCCATATATTGCAAGGTGAAATCATTCCCCAAACGACAAAACTAAGACTCGAATTTGACACAAATACTTGGTACTACTGCTGTGTGGTACGTTGGGTGAACATTTGTCTACATGGGGCACGTACGAAAGCGATCAATGGACTCTTTCGCTCCCGAAGTGTCGAGAAAACACAAAAAGAAGTTGAAACCTTGAGACCATCCTACCACGCAATCACGTGTCAATCGGTGCTACAATCACTTGAAGGCCCCCTCCGGTACTGAGAGAGCGTTCAGCGCTGGTGCGGGAGTTTCCTGTTGGCGAGTGGTCCTCCGGCAATGACAGGAGGCCTCACCAAAAACAACAATTCATGAGGTGATCCGCGCCGAGGAAGACAGCAGTACATTGGGCAAAACAATTCACGCAGTTGCACCGACGGGGCATGGCAGAAATGCCAAACATGGTTTGTCAGAACATACGCAGTCGTAGAGAGCTCCAACATGTTGAAAAATGATGCGAGCCTCCCGGATTGGACGACCCCTCCGAGTTCGCGTCCTGGGAATCTGTAAGGTAGTGGCCGCGTATATCCTCCTCCTCCTCCTCCTCCTCCTCCTCCTCCTCC